ACCCGTGCATGTTTCCGTCCTCTGTTAAATGTGTCTCTAGATCTGTCCGGGGAACAACTGCTTTTCCAGTTTATTTGTACGGGTGGAGTTGAGGAACACATTTAATGTTTGTTGCACAGTCCCCTGCTATTCAGACATGGATTGCTCTTTCCCTACTGCTCCCAGTGCACTGCAGCCCTGGCCACATCTGTCCCAGCATGGAGCTGAGTGAGCCAAGCCCAAAACATGCTCTGATGGTACAAGGTATTGCCTGGTTGCATTTCCTCTACTCACCATCTTTCTTCCAGTGGTGCCTGTGAATTCAGCAGGAGAACAGGGTTTTTCTGTGTCACCTGCTGGGACTCAGTGCTGCCCAGCTGTCCCCACTTGGTGCCTGCAGAGCGTTGGTTGCCACAGGAAAACCCACTCCAGGAGCAAGCTGGCAAAGATGTAGTGGGGATGATGGCAGGTAGAGTTCATGCCTGTGCCTCAGCCCTAATTGGTTTTCTAGTATAGGTGCAGCTAAATTCCTTCGAGAATCAGACAAGGAAGATAAAAACCTAACACGGAATAAATGCAGAAGACCCCACACACTCCTAAATGAATGGTTTTAGTGCTTCTGTGTTTGGATATAAAAGTAGAAATGCTTCCAGTTTTCTATGGTTTTTATGGGCACTTAGAGCAGCCCAATTGTTCTGTACTTGCTGAATATTTTTTTCTTGGAAAATTTCTAGTGTTAACTAAAAATTTATCTCCTCTTTGTGACTAAACCTTTTAGCAAAGGTGGACAGTGTTTGTGGTCTGCCCTAGCTAAACAATACTGTGTCATATTAATTGGATGTGAATTTTTTGCACACATGATCATGCTACAACCAAGGAATAAATTTTCATCAAATGAACAGGTAGAACTTCTCTAAATTTAATTGTTGTTGGTATTTTACTGTTTTATCCTGATATAGTGGCAAATAAACTGTAGAATTATCCACCTCACCACTCCTGCATTTTCCTGCCCCAGAAAAGAGAGTTACACTAATGGAAAAGGGATGTTGAGGTTTATTTAGTGCTAGAAGACAGTAACAGAAAAACTGAATGTTATGGAACTCCAAGTTGTAGACTTCAAAGTGAACACACCTGTTATGCTTTACTAGCTGGGTCCTGTGTTCTAGACAATGTCTAGTCCCTAGACAATAAATTAATTTCCTAGGAATTAATAACTCCTTATTATGATTGGTTAGCTACAAAAATCTGAAAAGTTTGACCTCTGCTATAAGTATAGGCACTGTCATGTCTCAGCAGTTGGGGGTAACAAGCTGAACATCATTAATCCATCCTTTGGAAGATCTTCTTTGTAGATAAGGCTTTGATCCACGACATTCTCCTTGAGATAAGAGGGAGTGCCTGAGTCTCTGCACAGTCACAGCCAGGTGCTGGTTTGATGTTGCCTGTGCTGGGGAGTGGAAACAACCACTCAGGTGAACAGTGCAATGAAAACAGTCCATGGAGCGGTGGAGTTACATCATGTCTGGGGAGCTCAAAGAACAGAAACTGCAGCCATGCAATGTAGGGAGTACACTTGAGTAAAGACCCTACTGGGGCTCCTGTCATGCCTTACCAATACTAAGATTTATTATATTTCAAGGGCTTTGTTGTGGTCTCTTTAGGTTGTTTCCTTTCATGTGTCGTATGTTCCTGTTAATGTCAAAGCTAGTTGTCATGGCAATTTTTAAATTGTTTAATAGGCTTTTTAAGTCTTCTAGAGTTTAAATCATACTGTACTGTATTGGGTTTGCACGGCAAAGGTTTTGTGGAGAAGGCTACAGGGTGAGAAGATACCAGAAGCTTCCCCTATGTCCAACAAAGCCAATGCCAGCCAGCTCCGAGATAACCTGCTACTGGTCAAGGCTAAGACCGTCAGAAACATCACCCCATAACTCTCCATCTTCCCAAAAACCTTTTGCACTTTCCAAAGCTAACTATAGCCCAAATAGCAGTGGGAAAGAGATATGTTTTCTGTGCTTTATACTAACACACACTACTTTTTGGAAAAGTACCGCCCCCCCCCCCAAAAAAAAAACCTGCAAAAGAATTCTACAACATCCACTCTATGGTCAGCACTGTTTGTCTGGGCAGAGGTATAGAATGTCTCATTCTGGTTTAATTGCATGTAACATGTAAAACTTTTACTACATTTGCCTAGAGTCTCGCCTGAAATTGGTAAATATTAGTTGACTTCTATCAGCTGTGGGAATGAAGCCTTTCCCACTCTGTTAATGTAGGTGCCTCAAGTATTTCACAATGCCTGTGGAAGGCAGCCACTTCATCAGTAGCCCAGTGTTTTCATTGCAGAATGACAGCAATAATAGCAGGAGGTGAAAATTACACTGTGAGACTTCTAAGCTCTATTAGCTAATAGGGATGTCTAAACTCTTTGCTCTAACTTACTCTGGAATGTGCAGTAACAGGTAATATATCCCTATAATGCTTAGATAAATGGCTTCTTTGCTAACCCAAGCAAGATATTACTGTGGTTGTATTTCTACAGCACCTGGGTGGGCAACTATGCAGCATGCTCTATACTTGCTGGGCTTTCAGCCTGGATTATCACAAAGAGTTTTAAACAGAGTCAGCCAATCCATTCATTTTACCTTTTGTTAAACTTACCTCTTTTTTTCTGGGGTGTAGAGGTTGACAGAACAGATAAATAGAGTATTTACAGTAATGCTGGAGTCAAGAACATGAAGAAACTGAAAGAGGAAGGGGTTGGTAGGAAAGCTAACATCTCTAATTAGATCAACAGAAAAAACCCACAGTGTTCTAGCACAGAAGTCCTCATTATTCAGCAAAAGAGACTTACAGTCCCTACAATTGTCTAAGCTCTATCAGATGGCATAATAAAAGACTTTATTGCTCCCTACAAATGCCAGGTCTCTTATATAGGAATTGTCCCACTACACTGCATATCCAGTCATAAACATTATATATCCTTCCCCCTAGCACAGCAAACCATGACTTGAAATAAAACGCTGTCTGACATCTTCCTGCTCTTCAACACCATCTCCTCTGGGGCTAAGCTCTAACCACGTACAAACACTTACTAATTGTAAGCAAGTGGATAACAGTTTCAAAGCTAAGGCTGCACCATACTACTTGCTTGCTGCTGGGAAACGTAATTTCAAAAGCCAGACCCTTGGATCACTTGGCACTTCTGCTAGACCAGGCCATGTAGCTGAGCTTGTTATTGGTTCCTGTAACTACAGTCAATTCCCCACTTCTGCTCCTTTTCTGGTCATCTTCCTTTCTGATATATTACCATGGAAACAAATCTTGAAAAAAGAAGTATTCACAAGCAGGTGGTTTTGTTTTTAGACACCATCTCTTCAGTTTTCACCTTTGCAACACTGCTCCTGTTGGGGGGATTCTCTTTCTCCAGCTGCCACTAGATGGTATTACTTCAGCAGGCACCTTCCCACCTGCTCTGCACCCTTGCTGAGACACAGACCACCAGAAAAGCAGGGGGTGGCTTTATTTTTTCTATTCTTCAAGCATCTTCTGGCAAATGTTGTTGAGGACAATGTCTTAGAAAAGCAGATATTTAGTCTCAGAATTGACAGCTTCTTGTGCTTGCAGCACAGTTTCTGCTTAAGGGCAAGTTTTATATTTGCTCTATAATCCAGAAGGTAAGACAGGTCTGTGGTCTGCCTGAAATTTCAGAATTCAGGTATCAAACCTGAAGCAAACAGACAAAACTTTGTATGCTCCGAGTCTTTTAAATAACTAACATGAAAATGCAAATGAAAAGCTTATTTTTCTCTCACAGTTGCAAAATTTTTCTAATGGTTTTGTATTTCCTTTCTGTGCTCACAAAAGAAAAGCAGTTGAACATGCAGGAAGTCATTCAGCAAAATTGTTATAAGTCTAGTAGATGAAAGCATTAGTGTGATAAGATATGAAGTAATTTTATATTAAAAGTTAATGACTTGGACTGTTCAGCCTTAGGAGATTCACTACTTTCTAATCCTTTATGCGCATCTTTATGGTAAGTTTATATGATGTGAAACTTATTCCACTTTTATGTTTCCATGTTTTGTTCTTTTCTTATTAAACTGACTTATGTCATTATTTTTCCTACTGGAGAAAAAACCAGGAAAGTCAATCCAGAAGTGGAAAGATCATCTAGCGATTAAATGTCCTCCACATCCACATTCATACTTTTTTAATCATACGATTTATATCTTAACTATAACTTAACTTCACTGATTTTTTTGATAAATTATTTTTATTCATTGAGAAATAAACTCAATTCATTGAGTAAACAAAACCTGCTCCCACAGGTTTGTGGAATTTTGTGAGTGGCTAGCTGGATTTTAAATAGACATTTTGAAGAACTAGTTGGAAGGTTTAAAGTAATGTTGCACAGAAAACCCTCCTTGCATCCCCATCCGAGTAGGGGCTACAAAAACCCCCCTTGTCCACACCAGCCCTCTTCTGTCCCCCTCATGCAAACTATCTTGCTTGCTGGCTCAGCTGGCAGTGGAATCAAACATGAGGAGGACTGTTCTATTTTAAAAGAGCATAAAATTGGTTGGTTTACAGTGAAAGTGTGACCACAAGAGCCAGACCTGACCCCATAAGCACTGAACTGCCTGAGCTGTGCTGCATCTTAGCGAGCAGGAAGGAGTCGCCAGCCGAGCTACGTTCATTGATGGGAAAAAATGCTTCTAACAAAATTCACCTTCTTTCTCACATATACTGGAGAAAACATAATTAAAGGCCTCGCTATGCAGAATCAGAGGGGTAGAAATCAAGCGGTGAAGACAATGTTGCTCCTTGCCTTCCACCTTTACACGCTACAGCTGCCAGTGCAATTTAGTGTCCGCTGCCTCTAGCCCAGGCAGAAGAAACTCACTCTGAGTAAGGTCTGAGAGACAAGCACACAGCAGGAACCACCAAGAACAAAGTGCTTGTTTCCTGATCTTACTGATTGCAAGGAAAACAACCCTCTCATATTTCTTCTCTTTCAGGACAGCAGGATGCCACGCTGGCCCAGAAGGGAAAGAAGAGGCCACTGTGCTGTGCCATGTGCTGTGTGGCACTGCAGCAAGAAGCAGGGCAGAGGCCACTGTGCTGGGCTGCAGAAATGCTGGATATCTGCACACTGCAGGAAAACATGAGGAAGGAGTCATGTGTGGAGTTAGTGACTCACACAATTAAGATTTGGCATGGCTGAGTGGCAAGATAGCAACATGGTTTTCCCATAAAAGGGGCAAATATGTTATTGCTGTGGTATATTAGATTTAATTAAATGGTAAGGTCAATTCAACTGCTTCCAGAGCTTTTGTTTGGAAGTTTGCAAGGCTTTGTTTCCTGTTAAAGCTGTTCATTGAGTATTACCAACTAGTTCCCCTGAAAATGAGACTGATTTCATAGCAGAGACTGTAACACTCTGGGCATCTGTCGAAAAGCTGTGTTCGAGTCCATTCCTTGGTGAGTATTTAAGCAGAGTAGCTTCAACAGGAACACGAATTAATAGCTTGAACAGAGTATCACCTTGGAAATGCTTACTGCCCACCAGGCTAGAGGAGAGTGAAATCTGCCTGAGTCCTTGTTCTCTCATTTGCAGCACCTGTTAGTTATTACCTGTTTCTCTCAGATTTTGACCAGAAGTTTTTTCTTTGTCTGGAGAAGGAATTTCGATTTAGTGCCAGGAGAGCAGGAAACTTTTAAATGAACAAACCCCCCTCCTAACAAGACAACATAGAGACGATTTGCAGTTTCCTTTTGGCAGATGCCTTAGCTCTGTGTTATTTCATTTATGGTGTTTTGTACTGGTGAGTTCATCAAAATGGGTTTTATTGGCTCCAAGACCACTGCCATCTGTGGGCAAGCCATGACCTTTAGCCAAGACATCTGATGGCAATTTTGCCGTGCACAGACACTCTCCATCTCCCTCAAGGAAAGCACCCATACAGTGGCACTGATGCGCTGCTGTTTCAAGCTGGCAGTGAACCTGCACAAGGTGGTTTTCTCTGTAGAGTCAACTCTGCTCAAGCCCAGCAGAAGCTGCTGCCATGGTCCAGACCCCAGGCTGCCCTCCATTGCTCCATTCCCTCTTCCCTCAGTCCCTCCATCTCTCCATCCCTCTGTCTCTGCATGCCTCCATCCTTCCATCCCTCCATCCTTTTGTCCCTCAGTCCCTCGATCCCTTCGTCCCTCCATCCATCCATCCCTTCATGCCTCCATCCCTTTGTCCCTCCTTCCCTCTGTCTCTTCACCCCTATATTGCTGTATCCCTGCCTCCCTCCATCCTTGCATCCCTTTGTCCCACCATCTCTCCCTCCCTCCACCCCTGCATCTTTCCATCTTTCCATCCCTCCATCCCTTCGTCTCTTCATCCCTTTGTTCCTCCGTCCCTCCATCTTTCCATCTCTCCATCCCTTAGTCCCTCCCTCCCTTCGTCTCTCCCTCCCTTCGTCCCTCCATCCCTCCATCTTTCCATCCCTCCATCCCTGCATCCCTCCATCCCTTCATCCTAGCATCCCTCGATCCCTCCATTCCTCCGTCCGTCCATCCGTCCACTCCTCCCTCCCTCATCCCTTCCCGGCGGGGTCCCCCCCGCTGCAGTTCCCACCTCCCACCGCTAGGCCGCGCCATCCCGGCGGTTGCTATGGCGACAGCGGCGCTGCCCCTCCGCGCAGGCGCGGCGGCTGCCGCGGGTGCTGAGGCGGTGCTGGGGCCGCGGCGGGGCCGCCATGGAGCGGTTCGGGCCCGGGCCTGTGAGCGCCGTGCCCGTGGCCGAGTTCAGGCCGTGAGTGCCGGGGCGGGCAGGGGGAGGGCCCGGCGGAGGGACAGCCGGGCGGCGGGATGCGGGAGGGCTGCGCGCTAGGCCGCGGCGGGCGGGAAGCGCGCCCGGCACCGCCGGGAGGCCTCCCGGGGGAACTGGGGAAGAGCGGCCGCGGGGCGGGAGCGGCTGGTGGAGGGGCTGCTGCGGGAGGAGGAGGAGGAGACCCCGGGTTTGCCTGGGCCTCCCCGAAACCCAGCGTGGAGGCTGCCGGGCCGCAGCGTACCGCTCCGAGCTAGGCTGAGCTCCGAGCTAGGCTGAGCTCCGAGCTAGG